TGATGAAGATCTCCATCTTGTTCTTCCAGTAGGTGTAAAACTTACCATTGAACATAGGTGGACGTTGGGTGGAATACCCTTCTTCAAGTTTCTCCTTGTAATTCATCTCTCAAGGAACTTACTCAGCAAAGTTATTTGCTTACACGTGAGAACCTTGCTCTGGTACCAATTGTTAGTTGAGACGATTAATACAAGAGGGGGGTAAATTGTATCGAGTTCCTAATAATTACTTTTGCAGAATAATAAAACAATGCATATAGGAACTTGCAAGGACACACAGATTTTACGAGGAAACCTTTCAGGGCCCAACTGGAAGTAAAACCTTGACCTACTTTGGGGATTTCAAACAAAAACCACTTCACTATAATAGGGAAAACACGAAGTTACAACCTATTAAACACAGACCTTTGTTTACATGTTCCACACTTGCTACTCGATAGGACCCTATCCTAACCAATCTAAGTACCACACTTAAATTCACTCATACTGCCAAAGTACAAAACTCTCAGCTTCACACTAGAAGCTTACACAACCTGTATGCGACGTAAAAAGAAAACAAACTCACACAAATAACCTAACCAATACAAATGTATGACACCTAGTATATGATAGGCAAGCTATGCACGAAATCCGAAACTAATATGACAATTTAGAAGCTTGGTAAACTTACTCAATTAATGCTCAGTGATTTCTCCACGCATAAACTCGAAAAACCTTAAACCCTTTCGATCTCTACTATTTATACAAGTATGACTTGTATAGCAAGTAGGTTTTCTAAAAGATAAATAAGTTAACTAAACTTATCTTTAAAACAAGGTTTTATGAAAATCATATTTAAAGAAAATCTTTTCCAGAAAATAAGATAGAAAGATATTGTTAAAAAGAATCGTATCTTTTAACAAACCGATTTTAAGAAATAAAACATTTTAGAAAATCTTTTCTAAAATCTATCTTTTATATTTTCCTTATTAATTTATTTACCAAGCAAAATTGCCACGCTTCTAATAAATCTCGTGCATTAACCTACTTAACATATTAACAATAATCTAGAAGATAAAAACCTTAGCTAAATTAAATTTTTGCGCCGTGCTTCTGTACAGGTAGGTTACTTGGGCTCCACGCAGACTAAGTTCCTTCAGGGACCTTAGCTTGCTTACTTCAAGTTCCTGTTAGGGAACGTTCCTGTTAGGGAACTCAGTTCTTGTTAGAGAACTTAGTTCTTGTTAGAGAACTTAGTTCTTGTTAGAGAACTCTTCTTCTTTTCTGTTTAACTATTTGTATAAAGATCTCCTCATGTCTTCTTAGTTACAGTTACTTCTTCCATCACCACGATAAATTTCACCTAAACTAATCAAACACTTGAAAACCTTTATTAGATGAGTTTGCTTTAGTTTAAGTTCCTCATCATCAAAACCTTTAAGCTTCAACAGTCATGACATGGCTAGGAAAACATTTAGGGGGAACTTCAAACACATTATTTGAGTCCAACTACCCAACACACTAACGGCCTGTTCACATTTACTGAATTGAGCTGAGCTAAACTAAACTGAGCTGAATGATTAGAGCTGAACTAAACTAGACTTAACTGATTGATTAGAGCTGAACTAAGCTGGACTGAACTGATTGGAGCTGAACTGAACTAAACTCAGCTAAAATGAATATTTTATGAGAGAGGGAAATTAAGAGCTGAATTGAACTGAACTGATTGGAGCTGAAATGAATTGAATTGAACAGAATTGATTGGAGCTGAACTGAACTGAAATTCAGTAAATGTAAACAGGCCCTAAACCTCACTGAGACTAGGGTGTCAATTAACATGGCAAGAGTAATATGTCAAGGTTATGGTCGATTTATCATTGGGAGGTCAAAGAGTGGACCAGTAGGAGGGTTTTTTGTTATCATTTTCGACAGGAATACAAGGTTACATCTTCAAGAACAACACGACACCAGATCTTGCTATTTCATCATATTTAGTTTATGCTATTTAATCATATTTAGTTTATACTAAGATATTCGTGGTAAACAAACCATTTCGTAATTAGCAAGCAATGGTTTTATGTAAGTTCACTATCTATTGTTGAGCATGGCTATCTTGTAACAGGCTTTGTTGGTAAACCCCAGTTTGTAATCAGGATCACTTCTAAAAATAATGTCATTGGGTTTTTTTTTTTTAAATCCATTGGGCCTCTTAATATATAGTTATGGGTTTGGTCCAAATAACACATGCTATGCTTATGAAATGACAAATAATGCTTATTACTTGGGCCAACATAGCTGGGCCGAATGCTGGCTTTTAATATATACTAACTAGGTTTAGTAAAATGAGAAATTAGAGAGGCATAAATATAACAACAAAAATACAATAACCAGCTCTAATCATACATGAATTAAAGTACAACATATGAATATGATGTAAAGTCCCTTATTACACAAGACATGCAAAAAATTAATAATAGAACACATAAAGATAAAGAAAATTGTGGACATGGTTTATTGAAGTGAAAAATAAGTGACAAGAAATAATACTCATGGGGCTATAGAGGACTTCATCTTTATATGCCCTTTACAAGAAGTCGTGCTACCTCTCCTTGGCCGATACATAAATCCTACTCCATGTTGTGGTAATTCCTTTATACGTGATTTGTCCATTGTCATATACAATAATAACTAACATATAACAATGTCACAATGCAAAAGCAATATCAAACCTTACTTTAACTAATTCACAGTGGCAAGGTCCTTCTGTGTCCCTCGCATCTCTTAGATGTTGTTCACCGTATGCTACATCCAAGACTTACATGTATTTCCATTCCCAAATATCCAATAAACGGGGATTATAAGCAAAACGGAGTAAATTCAAAAGAAATCTCACAAACAATTACCCCTAATTTCCCAAAGTCCCCTAAACATAACTTATCACACTTAGCTGCCTTCCCAATCTGTTGCATATTCCATGCCTTGATTCTAGGAAAGGCATACCACTCTACCGGATCCCTATCCTCTTTGACACAAAGTCAGTAGTTAGGAGCAAAGCAAGAAACTTGGAATGTACAAAATGTAATAGGAAGATGAAACTATAACTAATAGACATGAAATACATAAAACGGCAAAGATTGCACATTCACCAGCTACACCAGTTGTGTAGAACCATCATGTAAAACTAGTCACACTGTCTATGAATTTGGATAATAACAACCCACACCAGTCATATTCAGCTGTATCCATTGCAATACTAATATCAAGAAGAAGATCAGCCGCAACCCTTGGTGACTGTGTTGGGCACAACACCATCATCTCCAGCGCCATAATAAAAAACAGGGTCTTGAAAACCTCTTCATCATCTTCCCCAAAATACCACTTTAACCAATCCATCATCTCCCAAGTATTTGGTATCCCTACAAACGTGTACACCCGTCCACTAGGTTTGCTAGACTTTGACTCCCACGATTTTCCATACCATAACAGAATGTTCTACCTTTTGGTACGACCATCTTCAGTCATAGTTTTCGAGGACAGAACAGGTCCGGAACCATTTGGGATGCCTAACATCCACTGTACTTGATTCTTTAACAACTTAAACTCGGGTCATAACCCAATAAGCCAACAGTATTGGTAAATGCATATCACATGCAAGATGTAGCAGCCCACCAAAGCCCATTTCAATTACCTAACGTTTCCTACGGTCATCAAATTTTTGACATATGCGGCCGTAAGATTCAATTCGACTTTCATATTTTGGGGCTGCCAACATAATGACATCACATCACACTCAAATTAATAGAATATCTATATCACTATTAAAAGAAGCTCAAATGTCACTTACCCTCCTACAAGAATCGCTATGCCACAAAATCAACTCTGATCTAGCTTTCACACATCCCCTAAAACTTATGATGTCATCCTACAAGGTATTAGACCAACCTTATACAATCAATAACACACACACACACACACACACACACACAAAAAAAAAAAAAAAAAAAAAAAAAAACCTTTTGTTCTTAATGCAAATAAATCAATTATTAATAGGAAAATTTGTAATTATTAATCCCAACTTTCACCCATTTTCTTTCATTAATCCCAACTTTCAGTTATTATTGATTAATCCTAACTTTAGTACCCTTTTTTTTTTATCCGGCCATTTTGACTGGTGACCGGTTTAAGAAGTCAACATATTCCTTTGTTGACTTAGGAAGGTGATTTACCTCCCTAATTAAATGTTGAGTCACCTCTTTCAACCACCCCTCTGTTCTAATTAATTCCCCGCCATTACTCCTCCCCTTTAAGCTTCTCTTCTTTGCCATTAACAGCAAAAAAATTTCTCAACGACCCACAATTAAAGGCGAAAGCGACTGTTCATCCATATTTACAAGTGATCGAGTTTCCATTTTGGGTAAAAGCGCTGAACTTGGAGCAAGACTCTGCTGATCTTCCATTTGAGGTAAAACGCTAAATCCGTACTTGTTATGATGCTTGAATGGTGTTTGTTTGCATCTTTTTATGGAAAATGTGATAACTTTAGGTCGTTTGTAGTTTAATTTGATGAATGTATGCTGTTTTTGTTTTGTGGAATGATTAAAAGTGTATGGTTGATTGAATGGTAGGTAATTGTTATTGTTTGCGAATTTTTTGAATTCTGGGTGTAATTGTTGCTTATTTGTCTAGGCTTTGGTAGAATTGATTGCTTTGTTGTTTAATGTTGATGCAAAATTGTTAGGTTAACATGGTTGGTACCTTTACTCTGAAGATATGGTATGGGGAGTGTTTAAGCTTGTTAGTAATGGTGAATTAGTGTATCGGGGAGGGTCTGCTTGGACAAAGCAATTAGAACCTGATGTTTTATTGTATTATGGGTTAATTGAACTGGTTGAGGGGATTTGTGGAAAGAATTATGGGGGTCTGTGTTATTTAGTCCCTGAAGTGAGTTTAACCAATGGGTTGAGGAAGTTGATGAATGATGACGATGTTTGCGAGGTTTCATATTTTGGAGACAAACATAGATGTGTGGAGGTATATGTACAGCCTGTTCAAGAGGCACCTGTACTTGAAACAATTGAAACCCCACATGTTGAAACACACTTCCAACCCCTAACCTAAGCTTCTCAATCATATGCAGCTACTACAAAAGCCAAAAAACATACCCCAAAAAAGGCCCCACCACAAAGTAAAGATGCTTTGACTCTAGGAGTTAGGTCCAGTGGTAGAAGAAAACAGCCCACTGCCCCACATTTAATATCAAAAAAACCCCCATTGGATACTGATGCCTCCTCACCTACTGAAAAGAAAACCCCCAGCTCACTCATTCATAATGCACCTAAACAAAAAGCAGATCTGGCTTCAGGTTTTAAACAACCAACTGCATCCACCAAAACCCCTTCCACCAAAACAAAGAAGAAAACCACTTCACCAGTTGAACATCAAAGACAACCAAGTGCATCTGTTGATGACTTTGAGTGGTATGATAATAGGCCTGACAGTCCACTCACTTTGAATGAGTTGATTGGAGACTACAGTGAAGAGAGTGATAGTGGAGATCCAACATTTGTGCCTGAGTGTACTACAGATAAGGGGAAGGGAGTTGGTTTAGGAGACAGTAGTAAGGGGAAGGGAGTAGTTTTGGGAGACAGTAGTAAGGGGAAAGGAGTAGTTTTGGGAGACAGTAGTAAGGGGAAGGGAAAAGTTGTTGCTGAAGTGTACAGTGATGTGGATACTGATGATGATTCAGGGTTTGAAGATGAGGAAGATTCTTTTTTAGAGCACTTAGATCCAGAGGTTGAGGATGAGTTCGAGGAAGAAATCTTAGAGGAGCAGCAACAATTTGATTCAGATGTTAGTGATGATGAGTACAACACTGCTAGAGAGAGAGTGAATGCTTGGAACAAGGGGATAGTAGAGCTAGCCCAGAATTTGCAAAGGGAAGCAGCTGCAGGGAGGCTTAGTTCACAGGCTGAGCCAACAGAAGGAGAAGATACTATCACTGGTGCTCATGCAACTTTAAGTGATGCAGACAGTGAGGAAGATGAAGACACCCCACCATCTTCTGAAGCTGAGGATGATGGTGTAGGTAGAAGAAGGAGATCTAGTCTTTTAGTAGGCCCTAACACTGATTTTAGTCAATTTAAGTGGAAAGTAGGGTAGAGATTTGCTAGCAGGGAGGACTTTAAGGAGGCAGTAGCAAAATATGCCATTCTGCAGGGGAAGAATTTGTTTATAGCTGATAGTAACAAAAAGAGGGGGCAAAGGGTAGGGGTGAAGTGCAGTGAGGGCTTCCCTTTTTATGTCTATGCTTCATGGCATTCTAGAAAAGTTGCATTGATGGTGAAGAGGGTTGTCAGTCAGCACACTTGCTAGAAAAACATGCAGATGAATAGGCAAATGAAGTGTTCATGGGTGGCCAAGCAATTTATTGAGGTGTTCAAAACTAGGCCTCACTGGCCTGCAAAAGAAATAATTGAGTGCATAAGGAGAGCATACAAGGTGGTAGTTAAAAGGGAGTTTGCTTATAGAGTCAAATATGCAGCTCACATATTGCTACATGGTTCTATGCATGAACACTACCAGAAAGTGAGTGGATACTTAGCTGAATTGAGGAAATGTAGCCCTGGTTCTGTATCAGAGTTGGTGACAGTCATGCCCAAGCAACCACCACCAGTGTTTCAGAGGCTTTTTATGTGTTTTGAAGGGTTAATGAAAGGATGGAGGGAAGGATGTAGGAAGGTGATATCTGTAGATGCATGCTTTTTTAAGACTTTCCTTGGTGGGCAGCTGTTATGTGCAGTTGGTAGGGATGCAAATGACCAAATGTATCCCATAGCTTGGGCTGTGACAGAGGGGGAAAACAATCTGAGTTGGGAGTGGTTTTTCATACATTTGGTAGCATGCTTGGACCTTGGTGAAGGTGAAGGATTATCTGTTATCTCTGATGAGCATCAGGTTAGCCTCTCTCTGATATTGAATCATCTTTATTTAATTTCAATGACAAAGAGAAAATTTGCTCATTTTCTGGTTTTGTTTGCTTGTTTATAATGCAATTACATAGGCCATCTTGAATGTCGTTGCTTCAATTCTGCCCAAAGCAGAACATAGGCATTGTGCAAGGCACATTTTTGCCTTGTGGCACAAGACTTATAGAGGTGATGAGTTGAAATTGCAATTTTGGAAAATTGCAAAGTCATACAATGAGGCAGATTATAAGTATGCATTGACTGAGCTTGAGGTGATGAACCCTGAAGCAGCTCTAGCATTCCAAAAATACAATCCTCATCTATTCTGCAGAGCATTCTTAAGCACTGATGTAAATACTGATGCAATAACAAGGAACATTGCAGAAACTTTCAATGGATTCATCATAAATGCAAGGACAAAGCATCTGTTATTCATGCTTGAAGAGATTAGAAGTCAACTGATGCAGAGAATGGTGAAAAAAAGGCAAGACATGGAAAAGACAACTACCTATCTTTGTCCTAGAATACAGTCAAAGCTTGACAAAGAGAAAAATAAGGCAGCCTATTGTGAAGTTCTCCCCTCAAGTGACACTCTATCCAATGTGTCTTACAATCTTGATCAGGTGGTTGTAAACCTTGAGGCAAAGACCTGCACTTGCAGGAAATGGGACATGCTTGGCATTCCCTGTTGTCATGCTGTAGCATGTGTTTTCTTTGCCAACAAGGAAGCTGAGCAATTTGTTCATCCCTGTTATAGGAGAGAGGTTTACCTAACATCATATGCAGGTAACATGGTTTCTTTAGCTAGTTTATAAGAATTGCATGGTGTTGTTGCTAACTGATGTGGTTGTGGTACAGGTTCAATTCCACCCCTTGCTGGAGAGAGATACTGACCTAAAGTAGCCCTTGCATTGTATCCACCCCCAATCAAAATAGGTCCAGGAAGGCCTCGGAAGAATAGGATCAGAGATCCTTTTGAGAATCCAAAGAAACCTGGTTCCTTGACAAAAACTGGTGTTGAAATGACTTGCACGATTTGCTAAGTTAAGGGGCATAATAAGAGGAGGTGTCCAAATAGGGACACAGCAATCCAATCTGAGCCACCTGCTAAAAGAGCAAGGGGAAGACCAAAGAAAAATGGAGAGCAACCCCATTCCACTCTATCTGCACCATGTGAGCCTCAACTGAACACAACTGCTGCAGCACAACACCATATTGTCACAGCACAACCTACACAGTTAGGAAGAGGGGGCAGAGCTATCAGAGGAGGAAGAGGCTCCAGGGGACAGGGAACAAGACCATCTTCTAGTGCACCTGCACTAACTGGTGGCTAAGGGAGGGGACAGGGAAGAAGTGGCAGAGCTAGAGGTAGGGGAAGACATCAATTTCCTAGAGGAATTGGTGTTTTAATTGGAAATTATGGGTCTTTAATCACTGAGGTTAGGAACAACTGAACTTTGGTGAATTATTGTTCTTTGAATGCATAATTATTTGTTACTAACTACATTCTAATTCATGTCTCAGTCAAGGAATACAAGGTCAACTGGAAGACCAATGACCAGGTCAGTCAACCAGCTAGGTCAGTCAAGCCAGCAATCCACCCTTCACCAAGGAACACAGCCTTAATGTTTTAAGATTACAGTTTGAGGTAGTTGCAATAATATTTTGGTACATGTGTGTACAAACTGGATGCTTAAGTAGTGTTTGTTGGGAGTGGCAGCATTTTGCTTTATTTTAGCTGCCTAACTAAAGCCTAATTTTGACAGCAACTGTGCTGTTTAACATTGATATTTGGATTTGGATGTTATGTTGTGGTGACTTATGTAGATTCATGTTTATATGACTATTATGGTGACATGATTGCAAAATTTATAGAAAAACTAAGAGCTGCATTTTATTGATCAATGTCATTGTTACAAGATCCACCATAACCTCTTAACATTACATTACCCCTACTTCAAGCACACAACAACTATTCCAAACAACAACCATGAGAAAAATAGAGCCATTAACAACTGAGTCTCAGTCCTTGATGCCCTTACAAGTTGCATCCTAAGTTGAGAGAGTTCTTTTTTCAACTCTTTCACCAAATCTTCCAATTTCAGTTTCTTTCCCTCCAATTTCTTCACTCTAACTTCAAATGAACTCATATGGAGCTCCATTTCTGCAATAGTTGTATCCTTGTCAAATATTTGAAAGCGTAGATCTTCCTCCACAATATTGCAATCAACCCATTTCATAAAATTACAATTGGTTTCCTGCACACCCAAACACAACAATTTAGTTATAAATTACAAGTTCAACCCTAATTCAAACAAACTGAAGTTCAACCCTCCCCTTGTGTTTGTAGAACAGCCAGAAGAACCGCCAGCCATTGAAGAAAAAGAGTGAGGAAATAGGATTTCGATTTTATTTGAAGGACAAATTACAATTCCAATTACAAAAGGGCCTAATTTTGAAAGGGGAAATTTGAAGAAGAAGAGTGATGAAACAGGGGTTGCAACGGCTAAATTCGAGGGAAATAAATAGCAAAGGGGTGTTTTCTTTACCGGTTTTTAAAAAAAAGGAAAAAATAAATTAATTTTGCAACAGCTACTGCCACGTCAGATTAAACCGGGTACAATTGGTTTGGTAACCTGTTGGACCGGATAAAAAAAAAGGGTACTAAAGTTGGGATTAATCAGTAATAACTGAAAGTTGGGATTAATGAAAGAAAATGGGTGAAAGTTGGGATTAATAATTACAAATTTTCCTTATTAATATCAACAACATTGTACAACCTTAAACAAATTAGGGTGCAAAGTGATTGTCTTCTGGATAGAGTTTTGGAAGGACACCTCCGCAAATTCCTACAATTTTTAACAAGATAACATAGTCAGGAACATACACAATGAAGTTCATAACAGAAACCTAAACCCTAAACAACCTTCACCTTCACAAAACAACACACTAAACAACACCTTTACTACCTTGTCATTCTTCAAGTCAGAGCCCTCAATAGTACCATCTTACACACACAAAATAGCTTGAACAAATCAAAGGCTAGCAAAAATTACAAGCCATCTAACATGAAAATAGGACACATGTACTCACCAGGGATTCATCACATACATTGCGCCGCTTTCGTTTACCAGTGAACCTATCTAAGGACATCGTCAATATTTCTTTTGCCTGCACAAAAATTCAGAAACATGTGTATGCTTATTCAGTGCTCTTTAATCAATAGTTTACAATTTTTGTACAAATGAACTTTGTTTATCAATCATCATTCATTATCCTAGTGCGGATACATATGAACATCATATAATTTTAAATTCATTCAGACAAACATTAATGTGTTCAATGCAGCTAAGGTCATCTATCAATAAGTTTTAACCAACACACCTCGCCTTTGCAAACATTTCAACTTTTGAAAGATTTCTTCATTCCATATAGGCTCCCATTCTAAAATCGCAACAACTTAAACTCAAAACATCCAGCTAATATTCCTATGACAGTGTACCAATATGCCCCATTGCCTAATTTCAAAAAAGAATTATGATCAAATATTTAAATCCTCATTCGAAACAACCTAATTCAGCAATACACCTATCTTTCTTTCCAAATACCAACCAACACATAATTCAAAACCTGATTCGATAATACCCTAATTCATCAATACACCTATCTCTCAAAATATGTGTAATCACATATTCAACTCCAGATTCAAAAAACCTAATTCACCTAAATTCCTATATTTCATTTTCAATACTAACCACACATTAATTGATTACTTTTAACATGAACACAGAGAAAATAGAACTATATTCATACATCAAACACTAAATAATATAACAACCTACAGAAGAAGACGAACAAACCTTGCCAAATTAATAGATACCACCGGGCAGAGAACACTACTATCGTATTTCACCGATCGGCAAAATGCCTTTACTCCGTCCTTCTGCCGAGTTTGCACGACTTCCACACTGGCTACAACAAAACCACTACTGCCGCAGCAGGCACCCTTTTGGGTTTTTGTCCGATTTCAAACGACAAAGATAGATGTCTGCAAGAGAGTAAGTAACTGTCAAAGGGATAATGAATTTGATTAATGTACTGTGGTAAAAAAAAATCAAGGGTAATTGGAATTGGTTACTGTATAGGAGTAAAATATTCACTTCACATTTCGTAAATTTCTCCAAATTTGAGAGTTAACGGCTGTTTCTACTTAAAAGTATGCAGTCAAGGGAAAAAGTCACTTATACCCTAAAATTGAGGCAAAACGGACAAAATTACCCCCTTGAGAAACGCTTCTTGTTTCTCAAGAAGTGAAACTTGAAATTACCCGAAATTAAGCTAAAGTGAACAGGCCCTTAGTCTCAATATCTAATTTTATAAATTATTTTTTATATATATAATTTTAGTAATATCAAATTAAAGATATTAATGGTGAAACTTGTGCCTCGATAAATTTGCAAACCCAAATTATCTTTAATATGAAGTAGAATTTTTCCCACACAATACACACGACTCCTTAGTGGTATCAAAACCAAACCGACCCAAAAAAAAACCATCCATTTTGAACTGTAACCAATCCGATATAATCTAAGAATTAAAGATCCAACCCCATCTGCAACTAAACTGAACTCAACCTGAATTCGAATTTGACCCAATTTGAACTTAATTCGGCACTGATTTGACCCGACTTGAACTCATCCCGAAATTGATTTGACCCGGCTTGAAATCAAACTGAACCGATTTGAACCGACCTGAACTTAATCCGAACCAAAATTGACCCAAAAAATATCTGATTCAATCCGATATTTTTTTTTTCCGAACTGATATTATCCAACCCAATATTTATCCGCCCTAATTTTGACTTGACATGATTTCAGACTAACCATAATTTTAACCTTTTTTTTACTTAAACATATATTAAGGACACGATATAAAAACATGACACATAAATACTGACTTGATATCGATGTAACGATAAGATTTAAAAAAAAAAACAAACATCAATAACTACTCTAGTTTTACAAATGTACTTATTTGAATATTAAATTTGGTCAACCCAACCAAAATTTAGCCAAATACGAAAAGTATCTGAATCTGAATTGATTGAATATTGATCAACCTTAGTATTCAAACCGAACTTAACATAACCGAAATCAATTGAACCGAAAGCACTCCGATCCAAACTTAACCAACAAGAAATTAACCCGGCCAAACCCGTTTTGAACCTGATCCGAATATATCCGAATCAATTATGAACCAATCAGAAATTGACCCAAAAACCAACCGATTTGAACCCGACAGATCTTGACTTGAATTTAACTTGACTCGAAAGTGACCTTCCGACTCGAGGTTTGGTTAACATAGTAATTTTGAACCTAATATATCCGACCCGTATAGACTCGAACCATCATGGATCAACCTAAACTCCATCCGGTTATTGGAATGACACCTCTATGTTGCGGATTAATCAACAGGAATAAGGACCCCTATTTTGATGCAAAAGAAACTTGTAGCGTTAACACTGAACAATGAATTGGACTATTTTAAGGGCTTGTTCTCATTGACTGAACTGAACTGAACTGAAATGATTTTTTTTAAGAGAAGGAAATTAGGAGCTGAACTGAACTGAACTGAATTTCAACGTATGAGAACAGGCCCTAACTCCAGCACTTATAAACGTGCAAGATGGACTAGATGGTCCAAATGTTATGTAAACCTCTATACTTAATATTTATAAAACACAAATTTTTTTGGCATCACAAGTCACTCATTACCCCATGTGCACAGTCACCCTTAATAATATTTATGTTTAAGTCTTTATGCATTTTACAACTTTTCAAGAAACAAAATGAAGTATTTCATTTCCATCATAATAAAATAAAGTTCAATTAATTAGTACGCATTACTTAACATATGAATTATACTCCCTCCGTTTTTAAATACTTGCTCCACTTTCCTTTTTCGGCCGTTTTTAAATACTTGCTCCATTTCCTTATTTAGAAAGCTTGTACAATATTTAATTAATTTCTCTTACCTAGTGGACCCATCATAAATTATATTTTATTACTTTCATATTCTCTATCCTCCAATTCTCTCCACTACTTTTGCTTATTCCAATTTTTTATTCTCTCACATACCCTACTACCTCCATATTTTATTACTTTCTCCTAAAACTCCGCGTATGGAGAAATGGAGTAAGTATTTAAAAATGGAGGGAGTAATAAATATTGTCTTTTTATCTCATAGACTTTAAATATAATTTAAACTAATATGTCATCTCATATCCCACAATCTTCATGTATATATATCTAACTAAAATCGTTCATCTTCTTTC